CTGCTGTGTTGTCAGCACCCCTGGCCATTCCCCACTACTTGCCCTTCTGGTGAATCTAGTCAGCCTATCTAGAGGTCTTTGTTTTAGGAGGGTCAGCTGTTCCTCATCTAGCAGTAATCAGTTGTCAATATTCCTTTAGATAAGATTGGGGCCTGCTGTTCATTTTCCCAGTTCTATGCTGGGTTACTATCTGGGAGTCCCTTTGGCCACCCTGGCCAACAACTCAAAGAAGGTATCGATCACTTTTTAACATCATATTTTCTATGGGAACATTTGTATGATTTCTCAAATTTGAGTTAGGTCATCCTTATTTAACCTACCTTCCAGGAGCAACTTGGACTTGTCTCTCTCCCAGATGCATCATACTGAAATTGTATGCTTCCTTACTGACCCATAAGCTATATGAGGAAAGGACGAGGCATAATTCACAATTACATTTTTAGGACTTAGCATAAAGCTCAGCACATTGTAACTGTAAAATGAATAGGAAAATGAAGTGCATACAAATAATTCTATATGAATACATATAATACATATACATATACATAAATGGATGTGCAATTATATTTGAGTAACACATTATGTGTCCTAAATTATTACATGAAATGTATCTATGAATTATGAACTTTAAAAATTCAAATTATGTTTTGAATTTAATTAATAACCACCACATAATTTTCAGTTTTATAGCCACACCTTATATATCAAGGAAACATAAGTTTGAGGAATCATTATGAAATTCAGAAATACTTTTAGTTTACCTTCCAATCGTTATTTTTTATTAACTAACATGTGGTGAGCTCTTTACTTTGCATGCTCAACTTAAAAAAAAACGTAGGGCTGGAGAGATGGTTCAGTGGTTAAGAGCACTAACTGCTCCTGCATAGAACCGGGGTTCAGTTCCCAGTACTCACATGGCAGCTGACAACTGTCTGTAGCTCCAGTTGCAGGGTATTTGATGCCCTCTTATGGCCTGCACAGGCATTGCATGCATTGTTGCATTTAATACATGCAGCAAAACACTCATATACCTACAAAATAAATAAAAATTTTAAACATTAAAAAAAAACTGTGTCTCCCATGTCTGCTTATATGGTGACATTGGAAAGGTGACATTGGAAAACACTACCAAATATATGCAAAACCCATCATTTTTAAGGCCTTTAAGTTTGTAGTGTCGCTAAGTCTATGTGCATATGCA